ATATATATATATACTCGAGACATGATGAGATTGTTTACAGCAAATGCTGTATCGGGCACACGAGACTAACATATGAGCATTCACTTAAAGGAGAAGAACCCCCAAAATGTGTATATTGCAACAGAAACTAAACTGTTAAGCATATTATTGTGGAATGCCCTATTTTTAAAGTTATCAGACAAGAAATTTTATATGAAAACACTTTAACCTCTTAAAGTCAAGTGCTACTTTGGTTCTTCTGCTGGATTTTGCCTACCCAAATTCAAAAGCTTTGCAAATCCGCATGCAATGGTGTAAATGCTAAAGTTTTTTGTAAACTCAAAATTTTTAGGTTCTGTGTGGTTTAGTTTGCTGTAATTAATTTTGTTGGTTCCTGTACATGTCAGTAGGAAAAAAGAAAAAATTCTATCATAATCTATGCAAAAGTTATTCTATTCCAACTGATGGGAGAACGGAACTACTTTTGGGCTATTGGGCCAGTACGGACCTTAAAAATTTAAAGTATGCAGAAGTAAATGACAGAGTTTTTAGAGAATTTCTAAATGTGAATCCTTCTCAAATTGTCCTTTTTCTTTAAGCAAAAGTAAACTTTAAAAGCTGTTTTAGATTTTTATCTTATATAATATCATTATAATTATTATTTATGTGTTTTTATCTTGTGTGTTTTTTATTACCGTTGATGACTTTTAATTGTTAGAATGTTTTTATAATTATAGAAAAGTGTTATTTATAAAAATGTGATGAACTTTTGAATTTTTATTTTTATTTTTGCCATATAGCAAGAGAAGCTGATATGGCAATAAACTCAATTCTGACTCTTTCTCATTTTTTTGTTTTTTTTTTGTTTTTATAATTAGATTAGATTAGATTAGATTCAACTTTATTGTCATTACACATGTACAAGTACAATGCAACGAAATGCAGTTTAGGTCTAACCAGCAGTGCAATAGCAGCAAGTGCAGGATACAGGAATAAGTTATAAAGTGCAGTTATAGAAAACTATGGAGATATTTACAGATGGGATGGATGTACTATGAACATTATATACAGGTTGGATAAGCTATGAACAGATTTACAATATATGAATATATGTGCAGGTTGCTATTAATAATCAGTAGTGTGCAGATAGATGAACATGATTACAAGTGTATATGTTACAATATATGAATATATGTACAGGAATATATGAATATAATATAATAATAATTAATGTAACAATTTGAATGGAGCATGCTGACAAAAACTCTTTATTTGAAGTTAATTGGCAATATAATAAGGATTTGAATTTAAAATTTGGAAGAAATGTCATCAGTAGACTGTTTCTTAAAGCTCCTTATTGCATTCCTCGTTTTGTCTGCTCTCAGACGTTGGACTCTATAGGTTTGATTTACAGCTGAATTTCTGCTGGCCAACTCATTATAAGCACATCGGTTGGCTTGCAGTTGCTGTGTTTCCTGTGTGGAGGAATTTCAGAGAGCATCTGGAGTTTTTCCAGTGCATCTCCTGTCAGATTTTCTGATGTCTTTTCCAGCATTTTGCCTCTGGCTTCCTCTCCACACATACATCAATGACTCCAACATCCCCAACAGCGCAGAATTACTGAGCATCAAAGAAACCAGAGTGAAGGATTAAATGGACTGCGATCTGACCACTGACCTTTAATAGGTGTGGTCAAATATAAATCCTGTGTATTAAGTAGTCTTCTTTTTAGCGTTTGTGATATTTCTTTGTGTTCATCACTTTGTTTAACCTAACATTTAGAGCCAGCAGTAATTTTGCTGTAGATTTTCTTTGAAAATCAGACCAAACTTCCTGCTTTTAGCATTTGGGAATTTCTAAAAGTTCCTCCAAGGGATTATTAGATTATCCAAAGCAACTTCAGGCTCACTTTCTGGCGTCATCAAATAAAACTGGATGCAAAATCAAGACAGTCCAATTTTGTTGTCTGCGCTGCTCCACATGACCACTAGAGGCCACCAAAGGTTGAAAGGGATATTTTAGATTTCAGGCAGATGAAAGATGCAGGATTTAAACTGGGATCAGACAAGTATTAGGCAAACAATAACAAACACCATCTGCTGATTGGCCAGAGTTGGTTTATAGTGCGAAAATACACAACTAGCTCCTCTGATAGATGGATGGATGGATAAACACACAAACAGACGAGACCCACGGACAGACGGAGAGACGCACAGACATTCCATTCAGGTGTCTGTATCAAATATAATTTACAAAAGTTTTACATATAATGGAAGCACAGTGTCCTATTCCCATTTATTCTAATGGATATATTTATATATAATAAAAAACACTTCTGTTAAGGAATAAGTGATCATATACACCATTATATTTACTACAACTTTATTCATTTTTTTTAAGATGCATACTTTTGCAATGCCATATTTTTAATGTTATGAAAATGATTTATTATTTATAAATTTGAGGGAATCATTTATAAACGTGAATGAAACTTTATCTTGTGTTATGTATTGTTTATTGATGTAAATGTTATTATTTTATTGTTTTAAACCTAGTTATTATATAAAAGTGTTATTTAGAAAAATATTTTTACGTTTTACCTGTTTTTGCCATACAATAGCCAGGAAAGCTGCAATAAACTCAAAACTCTCTTTTCACAATTAATTAGTCTTTTTAATATTTTATCAAATAATTCATGTCAAATGATATTTGATGGTATATTAACTGCTGTTACAGTAGCTCAGAAAAAACTAGGAAAAAAATGATTAATGAATTGGGGGAAATAACTATTTGTAGATATTTTATGTTCACATTTTTTATGCTTGAAACCACAATTTTTTGAATTGTAAAAAAACAAAACAAAACGTAAATTAATAAAATGTTGAAAGAGCAAAAACTATTAACTCCAAGCAAGAATATCAGTTCAGTTTAGTTAAGATGTTAAATCAAGTCAGCAAAAATATACTTAACAAATGTTAAATGAGGCAAATTACAGTGCAGCATTTGACTTTGACTTTACTGTCATTCGCACACAGAACGAAACTTCATAGCATTGGCTCTGCAGTTTCAATAAGAATACCCAAGTAATAATATAATATACTACAAAAACATACACAACACCTGACTAACAGTCTTTACCGTCTGGCAGATCTACAGTGCAAATCTTATGCAATATTATTATTATTTAGTTTTATTATTATTATCCTAGTTGACTAGGAAGGCTTTGAGTGAACAGGTTTTCCACTTCATTTCTTCTCAGGTACCAGAAGGCAGCAGAAGAAACAAGTTTGGACAAGAAAAAAGTGAGTTTTCACCCTCGTTATTCATACCTGCACTTTTCCTGCTTTGTTCAAACTACTTATTTAAAATTAGTTAATTATTAAATAATTATTAATTCTTAATTATTTTTTCTTGGGAAAGCTTAATAGATCTATCTGTTTGTCTGTCCGCCCGTCTGTCCGTCCGTCCGTCCGTCCGTCCGTCCGTCCGTCCGTCCGTCTATCTATCTATCTATCTATCTATCTATCTATCTATCTATCTATCTATCTGTCTGTCTGTCTGTCTGTCTGTCTGTCTGTCTGTCTGTCTGTCTGTCTGTCTGTCTGTCTGTCTGTCTGTCTGTCTGTCTAAAAAATTTATCTTCTTTAATTTAACTTAATTATTTATCTTCTTATCAATTAATTAATTATGGGTGTAATGGAAAACAGTGGTTTGTAAGGATCGGAACACGCGTAACCTGTGGATTACCACATTTTTTTTCTCTTTTTTTTTTTTACTAAATTTGTAACAATAAAATTATAATGATGACAGAACAAGTTGTGGTAGGTTATGCGGGATGTGGTGGGGTACTTGGGTTATTAAGGGTGTTTTCTGTCACACTGTAAAACCCAACAGTCAACTTTTTATATATATATATTGCTTCAATTTCTAAATAAAAATGGCAAAAATAGCTTGGATGTAGCTAAGGTACTTTTGCCTTGTAGCTTTTATCTTAGCTTAATACATTTCCCAGGGGGTAGCTTTTAATGTAGTTAAGCTACATTTTAAGTAGAGTAGCTAATAGCTAAGCTCACTACATTTTTCAAGTAGCTTGCCCAACACTGTCATCTAGCAATGAAACATGGTTTTATGAGTGAATAACTGAATCATTTATTGAAAATGAGACAAAAAGTAAACATAATATGTAAATGTATAAATCTAACATTATAATTTGTACAAAATATGTATACAGTAGTAGTAACAATACTTTTTTTACAGTAATGAATATTTTACGGTGTATTTTTATTCAGCTGATTATTTCTTCATTTTATTTTTAATAAAATGACAGCTTCTAAGTTCTGTTTGTTAAAACCAAAAGTTTCTTGCGGTATTGTTCTTGTAATAAAGGGAAAGCAAATGACATTTGTCGTCTCCGCTTTTTAGCTGATCTGAAAAATGGTCTCATCTGTGACCAAAAAACCAAAGTGTAATCCAAACCATGAGATTTGTAATCCATTACACCACTACTATCTATCTGTCCATCTATATTCTACTGCTCTTCAAACGCACATGCATTCACTGTCCAGTCATCTTAATCCCTATTTAGACGTCTTAATCTGCAGGTAATTCCCATGTGCTTTACATAACTGGTCCAGTTGAGTTTGTCAGGATAAAGGAGTAAACAGAAATGACGGTGTGCAGGATGTGGATGTACATGTATGTATGCAACTATATTAGACTGCAGCTGCTTCTCATTATGTAGCTTATGCATTCAAGTTTTGCTCGGCGTATATATATTAAATGAAAGGTTTTGTCATGGCTTTGCATTGTGTTTTGGCAGTGAGTTCAGAGTGTTTGTGGCAGGCCTCATAACTTATGCCTGGAATTTGAGTTGTCGGCCCCAGGAGGCATTTTAACATCAGCCAGAAGTATTTGAGCTGTTGTAGCTTGCATTCAAGAGTAGAAAGTATGGGGTCAGATTAGCATGCTTTAGTTGCTTTTGTGTGCGAGCAAGGCACAGAAATGACTCTTAGAAGAAGACGGGAAAAAAAAGAGCAGTCACTTTCTGTACTTTATTAAATCCTGAAGACTGCAAATATAGTAGCTTTAATATGCATTAAAGTGAGGTTGTACTTGATATATTATTAACTAAAGGTGAAGTGAATTTATATTCGCATACCAATCTGATTTGGTTTTGTATTTTAGTGGATGTTTATACATGAGAGGTGATCTAATTATTAATCTAAAAAGGATCTAAACATACTAATCTAATTGTCATGCAATTTTTAAAATCATTTAGCTCGTTTATACAGTATTTTGGTTAGTGTTATTTAGTACTGGGTTGTGGCTGGAAGGACATATGCTGGAATAGTTAACGGTTCATTCCGCTGTGGCGACCCCTGATAAATAAGGGACTAAGCTGAAGTAAAATGATTGAATGAACGAATATTTTATTTAGTTTATAGATATAGCTGTATTTTTTATTATATTTTTACATGTTCAAGCAACTGTCATACTGTATACCCAAAAAAGATGTTTGCTGTTAAAACTGATTATTTAAAATGAGCTTAAACAACACAATTCTGGAGTTTGTTTTGATTCAACTTGATTGTTGTAAGTTTAATACACTTAAATAAAAAAAATAAAAAAGTTTGTTTTACCAACACAAATCGATTGTGTGGAACCCAGCATTTTTACAGTGTGATTTAAAAAAAAAAAAAAACAGAAATAGTTATGTAATTGAGGGGTTAATTTCTAAATACTATTCATTTATTCCTTCATTTTCTTGTCGGCTTAGTCCCTTTATTAATCCGGGGTCACCACAGCGGAATGAACCGCCAATTTATCCAGCAAGTTTTTACGCAGCGGATGCCCTTCCAGCCGCAACCCATCTCTGGGAAACATCAACACACATTTACACACACACCCATACACTACGGACAATTTAGCCTACCCAATTCACCTGTACCGCATGTCTTTAACTTGTGGGGGAAACCAGAGCTCCCGGAGGAAACCCACGCGAATGCAGGGAGAACATGCAAACTCCACACAAAAACGCCAACTGAGCCGAGGCTCGAACCAGCGACCTTCTTGCCGTGAGGAGACAGCACTACCTACTACGCCACTGCCTCGCCTTCTAAAAATAATGACTGGGAATCAGTTTGTGTTGTTACCTTGTTTTAAAAGTACACTGTAATTTTACTCATCCTCCACTAGTTTTTTTTCTGTTCTGTTTTTCTGTTGTTGAACAAGATATTTTGCCGGAAACCCGTAACCATCCACAGTATTGTTTCTCTACTGTGCACATCACATTCTTCAAATATCTTCTTTTGTATTCAACAGAATAAAAAAAAAAAAAACCTTAAACCGATTTTTAAATGATGACAGTTTTCATTTTTGAAGAGAACTATCCCTTTTATTGCAGATTTTTGTCCTTTTTTTATATTTAATCAACAATTAGACAAACATAACAAGTTTTATAGTCTACATTTGTCTTTGTTTATAATAAAAAACTCATATAAATGTAAATTTTCACTCAACCTGTACACTGTAAAAAACGATATGATCAATTAGTCCTGACAGCATATGTTTTTAGGTCATTGTATGTTATAAAACTAAAAGCCAGTTTAACATAATATAAGTTCAATGGACTCATAAAGTTAATTTGATTCATCTTAAAGTTTTAAGGCAACCAGGATTTTTTTTACAGTGTACTTGCGTTGAAGCATGTAATCTCATTGTCTTTCGGCAACTTTCCTTTTTCCCCCCATTTCCTGTCAGCGCTTCCCCTTTTTCTGTTCTTCCTGGTGTGTCTGTCCTGTTGTAGGGGGGCTGGTCTAGTTCCCTCATGCAGATTCTTTCTAAAGACTAGCATCTGGTGCTGCATTTTTTCCTCATTTCCAGCAGCACGCTCTGAGGGAGCCACTCCTTCCTTTTTACCAGGTTTCTAAAGCTTTTGTAATCAAACTTTTCTAACAAACTAACATTTGCTTCATCTAATCACTTGAAGATATTTTGGTAGACATTTAGTTCTAATAACTGCTTTTGTTTGTTTGAATTGTATTTGTCTCAGAGGTCTGATTTATTAGTCATATATTTTTAATAACTCTTTAACTCTATTTTAAAGGTGTTGTTTTTAAAACTTTAACTTGCTGTTGCTTTAAAATGCATACTTCTATATTAATTTGTACCAGTCAATAACATCTTTAAATTAGACATTTACACTATTTTACTGTAAATCTGTCATATTTAAAAAATCTAAATCTCTGTGTTGCTTTTAAAATGATCAAATTAGCCAAAAAAAGGACATTTTTAATAAGACTTTTACTCGTTTCATTGTAAATCTGTCCAATATCAAACTCTAAATCTGGATTTTGCTTTAAAATGCTTGCTTGTTCTTTTTTAATACTTCTCTGTTAGTTTTCTTTGATTTAAAACGTCCTCAGAGGGTTTATCAGTCAGTGACATTATTTTAATAGGGCTTTTACCTTAAATCTGTCATGTTTTACACTAAATCTGCTGTTAATTTTGTTTTAAAATGGTTTTCTATTATAAGTCCTGAAATAAAGGCCTCAGAGTATTTATCAGTCAGTCTGTTGTATTTAAACGTCAAAACCTGTGTTTCTTTAAAACACTTGCTTCTATAATAACCTTTTAATATTTACCATTCATTGACATCTTTAATTAGACGTTTACTCTATTTACTTTAGATCTGTTGTTATTATATATTATACATTTTATCATATTTTTACATGTTGCTTTAAAATGATCAGCTTACCCTATAAAGGACATTTTTAATAAGACTTTTACTCTGTTTTATTGTAACTTTGTCAAGTCTCAAACTCTAAATCTGGATTTTGCTTCAATGTGTTTGCTTGTTTTTCTTTTTTAATACTTCTCTGTTGGTCTTCTTTGATTTTAAAACTGTCATTAAGTCCTCAGAGGGTTTATCAGTCAGTGACAAATTTTTTAATTGGACTTTTACCGTAAATCTGTCATCTTACACTTAATCTGCATGTTGTTTTAAAATGGTTCTCTATGATAAAATTACCATAAATGTCTCGGAGGAATTATCAGTCAGTAGCACATTTTTTTTTTATTTACTTTTCCTCTATTTTCAGGCAAATCTGTCATATTTAAAAGCCTAATCTGTACGCTTGCATGTTTGTTTTTAAACGCTTCTCTGTTTTTTTTTTGTTCTTTGATTTTAAATATTGTCATAAAGACCTCCCTGAGGATTTGTCAATCAGAAATCTATAATAAATTAGTCTTTTGCTTTAATTTTAATGTAAATCTGTCTCATTTAAAATCTTTAAAAATGTATGTTGTTAAAAAAATGCTAACCTTTTATCTTTGTTATAGCAAAAGGTCAATAGCAATAGATCAATGGAGATTATAGCAATAGATCAATACAGTCACAGGCCAAAGTCTGCATCATCTAGTCTCTAAATTGCAGTTGTGAAATCTCAGAAGTGACCGCTTTTTTTTTTTAAATCTCTTTTTTGCAGTCTCCGGAGAAATCGACTCCAGGCCTTCGCAACGGCAATCTGAGTGTCCTAAAGCAGCTCTGGGAACATCCAGCCGAAACGCCTACATCTCCAGAACCCAAAGCACACCTCCAGAACCATCTGCAACAGTCTGCTGTAAAAATCCCACTGGAGTCCACTGACGTCCAGCTTATTGAGGGCACAGACCAGCAGTGTTTGAGCGACAGTGATCAGCCAATGGAGAAGCGAACGCAAAGAGATGTGGAGACCCTCATCGAAAAGCCCACCGTCCCCCTCAACAGCCTGAAGATGATGTTCGAGAAAGGAGAGACCCTTCATAGTAATGTAAGTACGAGAATGTTGCTTTAGTGTATTAAACAGCACTTTGGCATGATTATACAGGTTTTCTGCAGGCTTTAACAAGTCAAATTTGGGACTGTTTTAAAACAACTATGAATGAAATTTTAGACTTAAACAAGGCTAAATGGGTTTGGCCATTGGAAAAGGTTTTTACTTGCCCCATCAAAAAAAAAAAAAAAAAAAAAATCAAATTGAGTTATTTCTTAGCCACAAACTTTAATGTGTCAAAACAAGCAAACTCTAGTATGCTTTTTTTAACATAACTTTTTTCTTTTTTCAAATTTAAAAGGAAGAAATTAAAACAATATTGGTGAATCTAGTTAATAAATAAACTTTTGTTAAAGGGGGGGTCGACTACGATATCATATTCTAAACTTTAGTTAATGTGTAATGTAGCTGTGTGAACATAAACAACCCCTGTGAATGTAAGATGTTCAATGCAAAGGGAGACATTAGCTTTTACAGAGTTAGCTTAGCAAAGCCTACAGCGAACAAAGTTTGGGTACTACAAAAAATACATCCAGGTTAATGATGTCAATCTCTTTAGGTTACGCACATGCACCCCTTGCAGAAAAGGGGCGTGGCTAGAGGCACTGTAATATTACAACAGAGATGCTTCCTGTTGATGTGGAACTGATCTGTGAATCACAGCACATTATGTTAGCTGACCAATCAGAGCCCCTAGAGGGCGGGCCATTCAGAGGAACTAGGAAATATGAGTTGTTTACATGTTAGCTGAGTAGCCTGAGCACACATTGCTTTGCATCTTATAAACAAAGCCAAGCCTTAACTATACTCTGGACCACCTCATAAAAGTTTTGAGATGGATTGTTAGCAATTAGGTGAATGTTATCCAGACTTACCAGAATATGGGAAAATGAAGACCTGCTTAAAATGATTTAAAACATCCAACAAAAGAGTATAGTAAATTTTAGATTGTTTTTTTTTAAGGCCTGAAATTTTGTTTCTGAAATTTAAGACATTTTAGGATCCCACAGACCCCCTGCTATATAGGGATAATTCAGGCAAAATGTACTCCTATTAAAATAACTCTATTTCTGTTGAAAAGAAATGAAATTGGTGTAAATTGTTGATGGTTTTGATGTAAATTTTTTGGAAATAATACTATGGAAGTCAATGGCTATCAGTGCATTAATAAAGTCTCTTTATCCGTTTTCTGAACATATACAGTAGTTACCATCCACATCTTCTACATTTTGCTTATTCTCACTTATTAGAAAATAAAAGCAGTTATTTTAATATTGTAATAATATTGCACTTGGGAATTATGTCCTAAAATTACTCTCGTGTGGTACCTGGAAAACTGTCCCATCCCAAAAAAAGTACAGGTATTGGTATCGGAAAGTACCAAGAAAGAAATATCGATACTTGTAAAAAACTAATATTGATGCGTCCCTACATTTTACTGTCTTTTTGTTTTTGATAATTTAAAAAAAAAACAGCAGGCTTGATATAAACATTCTCTTTTGGGCAATTCCCAAATGTTTCACCATAATGAAGTGTCTGGAGGGCCTATTTGTGCAGCTTATTTCACATTTATAAATGCTCTGGGTGGACTTTTTGGACTCTGGGTTGTCTTTTCTGCTTGCTGGATATCTGTTTGTATTCAAAACATTCAAGAGAGACTGGTCATGCTGTGAGTCACATGATCTGATCACGAAGACTCCAGAGTGCTTAAATTCAGTTCATCTCTCTCGTTTCTGAGGATTTATTGCTCCGCTAAACACTCTGCAGGTCAGCTATTATTTGTTTGCTTGGTATAAAATGTCGTATTAGTTGTACTTTCAAATTGTAGCATCACTTTGATCTTTTAACTCGGGTGTTAACTCTGGCATGTAACTTGTACTCCTCTAAATGCCTTACATGTTTACCTGACTGCAAGTTGCGTCTTGTAGCTATCTGCAACCATACTGATATCAGCTGTAAAATGCTTCTTTAGGGGATCAAGTCTAGCTCTGAATGATCTGCCTGAAGGTAGTCCAGAACACGAAATCACTCACAACTGCTAAACTCTTAACTGCCTAGATCAATAACTATCAAGAAAAAGTTGATCTTTTGCATTTGGACTGCTACAATTGGATCATTTACAAAATGGGTGTTACCAGATATATTATAAAAGGGACTGTAATTCATAAATGAATGCTTCGATGTTTAAGAAATTTGGCATGCTAATACGCCATGTGATTGTAGAAAAGTGTGCTAAACTTCAATGTAATCTGCCTATAGGTGGCACTATAACTATTAAAAGGTGACTAATAGTGTCTTTGGCGATTCACTCTAAGTGACTTAAAAACATGTTTTACATACAGTGGTCCTTAACCACAGGGTACCAGTACCGGTCCATGGATCAATACTGCAAGTACCGAGCCGCACAAGAAATCATTAATTATTTCCTTTTTATTTATAATCTGAGTCTGAATGGTCTTTTATTTAAAAAAAATCTTTCATTATAAAAAATGACGGTATTGTCCCGCTTACATCTCAGTCACTTGAGTGTCCAAAATTAACTTACAAGCAGCAATCTAAGAAACAGACGTCTTTGGAAAGTTTCTTTGCTAAGGGGAAAAGGCCAAGTAAAGGACCCATGAACTTCCAAGCAATAGATCCACAACCGATTTGTCAACAAATCGGGTGAATCCACCATGTCTATGCAAGAAGATGAACTGCTGGAGATCGCGAATGAAACTCAGACAAACAGGCATTTTGCATATCACGTCTTTTCTAGAGTTGGCACAAGTTCATTATTTCCAGCAGCTTGCAGATGCACACAGTAGAATTGAATGCCGGGAGCGCACAACGAGTCACGTGACAAGAACTGACCGATCAGCTTCAGCTTGTATGAAATCTACACAATTTGGTTATTAATGAATTATCTCAGACAAACACAGAACACCCAAACACTGCAGTGCTTTGTCATTTTCTTCATAAATAAAACTTGTATCAGAATGACAGCAACGTTTTGTCAGCTTGTCATTCTCTGAAAAAACCTACAAACCAACCCCCAGTCAGCAGTAATATTGTCGCGCGCTGACCAGTCCACGGTGATAAAAGGTTTGGGGACCACTGTTCTAATTAACAAACGGTTTTATGTCATTAAGCCTCCAAGATAAACTTCAAACGAAGTTAAAATAAATGACTAAAATTACATAAATACAAACTAAATCTGGCCACAACAAAGTTCTTTGTGTTCGTTTTGGCAGTTCGAAACAGATCACCAAAGGGACCTTTGGGGCAGTTTGTTTTGTTTCTTAACACCTTTGAGCAGCTAATGGCCAGTGACGACTGTGCAGTCGGTGGGGTGTAACTTAACTTGGTTACCTTTAATTGAATTTTTAAGAGGATTGAATATAAAACAATTAGGTGGGCCCTCAAAAAACTCAAGAATTGTGTTGATTTCAGCTCGTTTTAAATAAGTAGTTTGAACAAGCAGCAAAAAAAACAACATTTCTGAGAGTACTTCAGTTCATATTCTGTTGTCCGTGAGGTTTTTGATTGGGTCTTCACATTATGAAATGTATTGGTCTCTGAGTTATAATAATAATAATAATAATTAGAACAAAATCTAACATTAGTGGTTATTGGTATCAGCTAACATTTCCATTTCACTTTTCATCCTCGAAAAAAATCTTCATTTTACTTGAAGATGTCCTGTAAGCAACATCCTACCAACACCCAACAGAACACTGTCACACATCAACACCTTTGCATTGTTGTTGTGAGTTTGCACTGATAAGACCTTCTCGCATTTCTTCCTTTGAAACGAGATCCATTGTAAATCACTGATTAGAATCTCTGATCTACTGTTCTCTGCGAGTCTTTGTGGTTAACATTCCCATGTTGTCTCTTTAGTCACGCCTCATCTTCATCTGACATTTTGTTTATTCTTTAATCTAATTTTTTGGGAACACTCAAAAGTTATGTGTTGAGAATAAACCAGGACTTCAATGTTCACAATGGTGTCTCTTGTTTGACTGCAGTGAGAATCGTACCCAGCGTTTTTTCTGGAAAAGAGTGCTCTGTTTTGAAGGAGCGTGGGTGGGGGAGAAAAGGGAAGACTGAAAGTGAATTCCTCCTTTTTCTCATTGTACCATCACCACCACAAAACCAGTGCTTCAAAACATCCCAGCATGCATTTGACGATAGTTTGACTCACATTTTCAGTTTTATTTTAGAAAGGCAAGCATCCCTAATCCAAAACGTTAAACTTGTAGCTTCTGTGGTTGAGACTGAGTGATTTGAACTTGTGAATCATTTAAGTGACTCAGAACAAAACATTGATTCAGTTCTTGAGTTCAGCTCACTGACTCCACAATCTGGGTCAGATATGAAACAAAATATAGCCAATAACCAGGGCCAGACAGAATCTGCTGACATTTCTTTTTTGATATTCCTGCAGATTTTTGTGGAATGATTTTGATAATAATATAGAAAATAAAAACTTAATATCACAAATAAAAATAGAATAATGTTAACTTCTTTAAAATATACAGAAAATCCAATTAGATCCACTTGTTTGGTGAACAAAGCAAGTTTCTCATACGTCTACTAAAAGAAATTGGAAAAACAAAGAAGGAAATTTCACAGGAGGACTAATAATTTTGTCTTTATCAGTTATTAAAATAAATAGACTCATTGATGGGTTAAAAAAAAATCGGCGGAAGTCTGTGTATGCAGATTCCATGTGGTCCTACTAATAACTCTATTATATGCGTTTATGGGGGGTTATTTCTAAACTCCTCACCTCTCAAAAGGCATTTCCATCAGCGGACGGGAATGAGGTCGCTCTGGTTGAAAGTGTTTGCTGTTGATGTCATGAGATAAACATCCACATGATCGCTGAAGGGTCAAACTCTCAGCTCTCATCAAAGCCAAACGTCTCTCCTTTAACCTGCGGGATGGTCATGAGGGAGAAACACTGGCTGAAATTAACTGAATTCATCATCCACGTCCTACAGCATGTCTGT